AGGGCGGGGCAGCAGGCGGAGAGCTACAGGAGGGGGCAGCAAGCTACTGGCTAAGTGGGCAGTGGAGAGCTACAGGAGGGGGCAGGGCAGCAAGCTATGAGGGGCGGGGGGAGCTACAGGAGGGCGGGGCAGCAGGCGGAGAGCTACTGGAGGGTGGCAGCGAGCTACTGGCGAGCTACTGGCACACGGATTCGTGCGCAGGGCTACTAGTATTCAATAAATATTGCCTGTTTACCATGCGCATGCCAGGCGACCTTCTCAGCATTTAGCAGATATTCACTCGTTAAATCCTAACGCTACCCTATCGGCTGGCAAGCATCACCCCCACTTTACCGGTGAGGAGACCGAGGCACAGAGAAGTCTGATAACTCACGCAGAATCCCACAGCCGGCAAGTGGCAGGACGTGCGTGTGAACCCTGGCCACCTGGCTCCAGAGGCCGCGCTCTCACCATTGCACCATCCCGCCTGGGAGCGAGTCAGCGCAGCCAATGCACAGCCGTGCCTGGCGCTGGGGGAGTCCAAGCTCACGGGCCTGGACTCTGCTCACCGTTAGCAGAACCCGCCACCATTTGCCCAGAGACAAAGCCACTCCCCTCTGGCTCTCAGCAACCCCAGGGGGCAGTTGCATCATTTCTCCTGTAGAGGCTTGGAAACTTGGGCTGAAAGGGGTGGAGGGACCAGACACAGTCTGGGGACCCCAGGGGGCCGGAGACAACCCCTCCCAGGACAGTTGGGTCTTGTGGCCAGAGAGCGGTGCCAGGAGCCTAGGATGTGAGCAGTGGGCCGGCCCTCCCCCAGGGCCCAGGGCAGGGAACCGAGACAACATCAAGAGCTGGAACTGACCAGCCTGGGCGGCCCATGGCGGCGAGGCGGGGATCCGGGCAGCTGGCAGCCTCCTGTAGAGAACCCTGGCTCAGCAGTCAGCCTCCTCTGCCAAGACGAACGCGGCCCTTCCACCCGCTCTCTGTGCCCGCAAATCCATCTGCAAAAGATGAGAGACAGTGAGGGAGGCGGCCGCGGGCTCTCCGGGGCCTGGGCTGCTATGTTCACTGATTCGCGCCCTCGCTCGGCCCCCGGGGGAAAGGGGCTGGTTAGCACAGCCTTGCCCTGGAGGGGCGCTCCGCTGGGGGAGAGCATTGGAAAGGAGCCGAGGATAATAAACTGGATGATGGCGGAAATGCAGCCAGAGGGAGGTGACACCGGACGAGAAGGGAGTTGGCCGGATGGACCGCCCCAAGTGCCATCGGGCCTGCACACCTCCTCTCCCCCGAGCCCCGTGCAGTCACACAGGAAAATGACCGTCTCATCCATTTGCTCACTCACTGATGCGCTCACTCGGCAGCCGGAGGGACACGGAAAGTACGTGGCGGCCAGTCATTCCTCTGCTCAGGCCCGGAGATGTGGGCGGTCCACCGGGTCCCGTGTGTCCCCCAGCCCCTGACCGCACCCCCCACTTCTCTCCCCATCATCTGCTCTGCCCCAGCCACACCAGGCCTCCTTGCTCTTTCTCAACCGTCCCCCCCCCGCCCCACTGCAGTCTCAGGGCCTTTGCAGCGGCTGTTCCTCCTGCTTGGAACACGGTTCCCATAGCTCGTTCCCTCACCGCCCTCTCCCCTCACTCAGAAGTCACCTTCCCTAAACTTCCAACTCCCCCATCACTTCGTAGCCTCCTGGTGTCGTCTGTCCTCCCCAGTACTTATGCGAACATAGTGTACATTTTTGTACTTGCTTGTGTTAGCTATTTATTTGGAACATAACCCCATGGGGTCAATGAATACTGTGTGTAGGTGAGAAGTGCGTGGACGGAGCAATCAATGAGTGAGTGGATCAATGGGTGATCAGTGAGTGGATTAACGAGTGAGCGGAGTCGGTCAGTGAGTTAGCAAATCAGTGAGTGACCAAATGAACCAGTGAGCACGTGAGTGAGGAGACCGGGGGTCGGGGGTCGGGTGAGCTGCCTGGGATCCCCCCACCGGCTCCTGAATGGCAGAGCCCTGATGTAAACCAAGAGCCGCGTGCTCCCGCCCCGGTTTCCCCCGCAGGGAGAGGCTATTCTGGTCCTGAGGCCTCTTAACCCAGCGGGAACCATACCGAGGAGGAGTGGGCGCACAGACAGAGGGATGGAGCGAGGCCCTGGCTGCTTGGGGGCCCGGGACCCTGGGGGGTGGGGTTCTGCCACAGGGCGGGGCGAGTACCGGGCCTTTAGGGGAGGCAGGCTGTGCCCCTGGAGCCAGGCCTGCCATAGCCGAGGGTGCCAGAGGCAGGCAGCACCGTATTTGGTGCCAGAGCCCAGGGCCCAGGAATAGAAACCGCTCATGGGCCAAGTTGGCCGCAGCCCAATCCCCGTGTGACCTCAGGCCCCAAGCACGCTCCTGGCCCCCTGGACAGGCCTGGCAGCTGAGGCCGAAGTCCTGGCCCTCGTCAAACAGCCTGGCACATCGCTGCCACTGCCCCCTCCTGCCTCCCGCCTCCCCCTCAGCCCCGCGCCGCGCCGGGAGGTACTGCAGTTAGCAGTTCGCTGTGGGGCATCCCTGTGTCTCCGTCGTCACCCCCACCCCATCTTTCTCGGCAGGAAGTGGGAGTGAGAAGGGACGGCTGGTGGAGACAGAGGGCATAGGCCTGGCCACACCCCCCGGCCTCCCACCTCGGGGGCTTCGGTATCAGCGTCCAGGTGTAAGTGGCTGGGAAAGGCTCCCTCCCTGCACCTGGCACCTGGCACGGCCCACACCCTCCGGCCCTCCCTGGGCTCCCGTGTCCCGCCAGCGCTGGCTGACCAGGCCCCACGCAGAAGAGTCCCAGGGAGGGTCAGACCCGGGCCAACCCGAACCCGTGCGCTGCCAGGCTGGGCGCTGAACGCCAGGGATCCCGATGCTCAAATGGGGACGGAGGCCCAGGGAAGGGAAGGGGCTCAGCCAAGGCCCCCAGCAGCGCAGGGAGCCCCTCCTGTCCCTCCTCGGCTGACCGGCACCCTCGGGGGCTTCCGAGAGGCGGCAGGAGGCAGACAGAAAACCGTGCCAGCGCAGGGACAGACCCTGGTCAGCTCCGGGGACAGCTTCCTGGGCGGAGTCTGGGGCTCAGCTCAGGCGCCTGTTTTCTCATCGCAGGACCCAGGCCTGAGGTCAAGGCGTGGGCAGGCCCTGCTGCCTCTCGGCTCGCGGGGCGGGGAGAGCGGTGCCTGCCACTTGCCCTGTCTGGGGGCCCTCGGCTCCTGAGCTCATAGCCTGGTCCCTCCAGCCTCCGCCTGTCCCCACGCGGCCTCTCCGCGGTCCCCGTCTCCCTCCTCTGTCTCCTGGGCAACCCGGCTCAGTCCTCATCTTTAACGCACCAGCTGCAAAGACCCTGGTGGCATCCAGGGTGCCGCGGTTAGGACAGGACAGGAGGCCACCGGCCACCCCCTGTGCCCCTCTGTGCCCTCCGGCGCCTCCGGCCGCCTCGTGACGAAGGGAGCTGGGGCCTGGCCGGCGTGGCTCAGCGGTTGAGCACCGACCTGTGAACCAGGAGGTCAGGGTTCGATTCCCGTCAGGGCACACGTTTCTCTCTCCCTCTCCCTCCCCCTTCCTCTCTGAAATCAATAAAGATATATTTTTCAAAAGCAAAAGAAGGAAGCTTTGTTCTCAATCACAGCTGAGGAAGGGGGAGCGGCGTTCCCAGGTCACAGGGGCCGACAAGGAAGTGTGAGTAGAGCCTGGGTCTGACCCGGGGTCTGAGGTTTGCGGCCTCACCCGCTGTGCGTGGACGTC